ACCTCTCTTTCCTCACTGTCCTACTCAGTGGTCCCATTTCCCAAAACATGTTCAACCACGTTTTAATTTCTCTCCCTTCCCAGTGGCCATCTTTGGGCTGCACATAAATGCCCCAACCTCACCTCACCCTCTCCACATACCCTCAAAGGCAGCAAAGGGGACTGAGGTAAATTTATTTTCCCTGCACTTCTTCCAAATCTCTGCACATGGTTTCCTGACCTTGGGTCTACTCCAATCCCTCTCCCACCCTGTGTGCCTCGCTCAAGGCCTTGGCTTATCTCCTTGCTCCAGGTGCCAGGGCTGGCTCAGGGTGTGGGTACTGCAGGAGAGCACTGAGCAGGGCAGAAGCCAGGAGTGAAGACAATCAGCTGGTGAGCAGTGATTGCAGGCAAGTGCCTCTAGGCAGGTGGAGTCAGGCATCACCCTTATTTTGAAGCCACTCGTAAACCAGTCTAGAAAACAGCTCTAACCAATCTACTCAAGTCAGTCTCTCCTGGTGCAGTCAATTACACCTTTCAAAGCAGAACAGAGTCAGCCAAAGGGACTAACAGCCCCACTTGCACTCCAGAAGAGATGTTAGAGAACTAAAGCGTTTGCAGAGAAGGGAACTGTGAATCCACACCTTTTTGTGAAGAAGGAATTGAGTCCACAGCCTGCTGGCATAAGCTAGCATTAAATCACCAGTGAGCAAAAGGCATTGAGGGCTCCATCTCCAGACAGGCCATAAGAAGCCAGGGAAGCAGAAGTGTACATGATTTCTGGCACCCCAGGGTGCCAGATGAGCCTGTCACCTAGTCACAGAACCACCAGAACGAGGTCCTAGGCAAGCCAGGAACTGTTTGACACTGAAGGATTTACAAAACTACATCAAAGGAAGCTTGCAGCTCTGCATAGCCTGCAGAGGGGTTTGAGGAAACGGTTTTGGGATCAGGCCCAGTTCTTCAAGGGTACTTAGCTGCTAACCCAAACTGTTTACAGTGGAGACAGCTGCCTACAGATTTTTCAAGATCTTAGCCCTTTGGGCCTTAGACCAACTAGAAAAGGCGAAAAGAAGTGAAGTCACTCAAGGCATTCAGGTCAGCTGCATACCAGGTGGGACACCAAGTTCCAGCCCTAGTCTCACCCTGGAGCAGCGGTGGCTCAGGTTGCCTCTGCCTGTTCTGCACTGCAAGGGCAGCCCTTATCCCGGCCAAAGTGCCCGTCCATGAAGACCAACCGCAAGGGTGCAGCAGCACTGTGGGGAAATCCTGAAGGTAATCTTTGACCTTTGCTATCTAGAGAAAACGCTTCAAGTAGGAGCATGTTTACCATATTAATGCTAAAACAGTTCCATTACAATGACAAGCATGATGTTTCATCAAAATTCTTACAAGATTTATATCTGCTGTAGCTCTCCTTTGGATGAAAGTTGGATGTAAAACAAGCATGTGTTTCTTGTTACAGTGCTGCAAAAAATCCATTGTTTCTGGGTTGACCGATTCAAAATTTAAAGAAATCAGTCTGCCATAACAAACATGATCTTCAGCAATCAAAACATAATCTTATATTCCACTATGTATTTAATAAAAGAACTTCAAGTGAAGCACAGGTTCGCTTAAAAGTGATGAAAATTAATTCAAGCTAAAACTGTCATCAAACTGCAGGATTAGCAATACCAACTCACACTCTCTCAATTTGACATGCATAATTTTGATGTGCCAAAGATGTTGTGAACTCATACTACAAAAAGACTTCAGTAATTTATGGAATCTGTATAGAATTTATATAAAAAAATCTACATTAATGAAGATGAAGGTTTCAAAGTCAAGTTAAGAAATGCAAGATGCACTGTTGCCTTGTGCATTATGATATGACCTTAAATTGCAGGTTCGCATTTTTGCCAGTAGGAACCACTCTCTCATTCAGGAATTCTTTTCAATCCTCTTCAGTGCACAGCTCAACCTTGCTTTCTGCACTCTATATAGGCCACAAATGTATCAGCTTCTTTGTAAGTATTTCTGCAATTACCATCAGAGGAATAAGGACTGTGTGGTCTTTTTCAAATCTGTGAAAATCCCTGTGAGATTTGCTCCTGGTGTCACCACCTGTAGTATCCGTTGTGTGTATCGATGAATACTGACACTTTCACCTAATATTTTCAGGACAGATCTACTGAACCTAGACATAGATATGATTAGTCTGCACTTCTGCAGATGTAGCCCCAAGCAGTATATAGTAAGCATTTAGCAAAATACTTAGTGAGTTTCTCTGAACCAAGTGTCTTGCTCAGTGTTACAGAAGAACCTCGTAACAGCAGCAGAAAGAAAACCCAGTTCTCCAAACCAGAGTGCTCTTTCTTTCATCATCAGAATATCTTTTCACCTCTGGCAATTTGACCCCCTTTACTATTATCAAGTTTTTCCTTAAAATGATCCTTTTGCAGAGAGCAGCCTCATGGCTACACAGTCCTGAATCATTCACAGAGGAGGACACAGCCTGCACAAGGAATATGACAGGATCCCAGAGAGCTGCACAGGTGGGATGGAAGCTTTACAAAGAAATTACAGATCTCAAAATCCCTAATTTTTGCAAGTCCATTCCTTCCCATCCATTTTTAAGGATAAACACAAGGATTAGAAAATGGGAATCACACTGATCCTCCAACTTGTCACCAGCAGGATTCAGATCTTTCATACAAGAAAACTCCTGTTTCTTCGAGCTACAGATTAATGCTAGTACATCAGTGTGCACAGAGGGGAACACCAGAGAGTGAAATACAAAATGTCTTCCAAGTTACGCATATATTAGCCAGGAGCACAACCATCCAAGCCTCACATCACATATTCTAGGTAAGAGTTTAAGGTCTCTAACACAAAGCTGCTACAGCTCCTGGTTCCCAGGCAACAGATATCCCTCTTACACCCACCTCCTTCCTCTCTGTTTCTCACTATTTTTAGATTCTCCTAAACGTCTCAAGTAACACACACCCATCTCTGCAAAAACCAACAAATACATTTTCCTTACTAATATCATTCCAAGATACAACTAAACTGTATTCACTGAACTTTTTCAAATTCTTCAACAGGAGACTACTGCATATTAGAGGAACTTAAAGTTAAAAATTATCAATCCAAGTCGGAAGCATCTGAAAACACATCTAAATGAAAGCTGTCAACCAATCTCAGTGAGTAGGCAAGCCCTTAACGTGGCTTCCTCTTCTCTCCTCCCCTTGAACTGCTATAAAGGTCACTTGGAAAGACTCTTCTATTAACTTCTACTACTCACCTATGACTCTTAAAATGTTAAATTTGAGTGTAAGGAGGTCAGTGATTTCAGGTGTGTTAGGCCAATTGGAGCATGGCTGCTTTGCACTCACCTCAAAGGTCAGCCTATTTTTAAGTGCCTGACACCAACAAAACCCTTTTCTCTAAGCCAAGTAATTTCTGAGAGACTTTTGAACCACATTAATCTTAATCCAAACCTATGCTCAAGTAAGCAGATGCTGTCTTTCTACAAAATCCTAGCTTTTGTAGAAGTTTGATCAGCTATGCCTTTGAAGTGCTACTTCCATTAGATAATTAAGTCTTCTAATATTATTCTAACAGATAATGAAATAGTTCTAATTCCATTAAAAAATAAGTATTCTAATAATTCCATAAATAGAAGCGTGAAACATCAGGCCCTATTTGTCCCTTGGAAGAAAATTAGTAAGTTCTCAAAAATACGTGAAATTATGTATGCTTCAATCACAAGATTTTATTATAGTAGATGAAAGAAACCTCAAATTCTTAGTATAATCTCCCCACAGACTTTTAAGGAATATCACTGATGCAGATATTTTTGCAGCATTTTGTTTTACCACATCAGGCTGTGAAGTGTTGAAATAAAATATTTCACCCAGGGATCACTGTATCCATCTTACAGATGTAAGCAACTGAAACAAGCAGATGAAAGTTAACAACAGAGTGATGAGCAAAGCTAAAAGATGTTTTCAATTCTAACTTCTTATCCAGTATTGTATTTATCTGGTCATACCAATTCAAAGCTACAGACACGGTTTGCTCCATATTTATGTAATTCCATTTTTTTTCTAAACTGCTCTAGCTTTTAGTCAATGGATTCTTGCATTTGGCAGAGAAGCATGCATAAAAAGAAAAAAACAAACCTTGGGACTGTCACACAAGATTGTGTACTTCACACAGAGGTCTATATCATAGGCTTTGAATTTCACATGTAATACCAAAATCTGTCTCAAATTAACACTACCGTTAAACTATGGAAGACTAAACTCAAGGTCTTCAACCAGCAAGGGGTATTTTCCAGATACAACTGACTTCCTTCTGTTTTTAAGCAGTCTGAGTTCCATGTGTATATCTCATGTCATTAAGCCTGATAGTTTAAAATACTTGATACCATTCACTGTTAACAGCAACATGCTTTAGGCCATGAAAAAATATATGGGAAGTTAATTATGCTGTTCAGTACATCAGCATACCACTCTTACCCTTTAAAAGGATAAAAAGTCTCAAGAAGCTGAAGTAAGACAGTCATTATGGTTTATATGAAAATAGTCTTTTAAGGATTAACAATGTATATGGTATAAAAAGCTAGTGAAACATTTCCTGATTTTGTGATTAAGAAAACATCTGTATTTTCATTACTGTAATACGTATGTGCTTAGATGCACAAAATATTACATTCTGCTGCCTCATGATGTCATTGTAACATCAACCACTGGCCCAGTATTGTTGTTTCCAGGGAGAAGTGATGAAGGAAATAAGCAACCCCATTTTAATTTAACAGGGCAACTAGCACCAACAGCCTTGCTGTTTTCTGCAGTTGTTAGGGTTAGGTAAGAAACACGCTGTACTCTGAAAAGAGTACGAATCAAAAAGCTGGAATGAAGACTGCATACCACCAAGCTAATATGTAACGTATATGCTCATAGGAAAGATCTGAACATTAGCTTGTTAACATTTACAAAGAACTCTTCCAAGTAGATTTTATACTTTGACATGTTTATTTTAGTTGGATGAACAGATTCAATGAACAAACTGAAACAGTATTCCTCAGCCTCACATTTGCCTCCCTGTAGACTTCTGTAACCAAATGTTTAAAAATATGAGAAATATGTGGCTATTTGCATGAAGTAGTTCAATAGTTATTTCTTGTTCCATGCTTCTCTTTCAAGTCTTTCACGGATTACTTCTTTTAAGTACGGTTCAAGATAATGCTTATCCTGAAAAAGAAGAGAATATATTTAAACTTATAGGGAGGTCCAGAAACATCTCAAGCCACTCCTATAGATTACTTGTCTCTCATTCTGCCTCAGATTTGACTAAAACCCAACCTAACAAGGAAAAAAAAACAAAAAACCCCCAAACATGACTTACTCTAAAAAGGTAAACTTTGTATCTGCCAAGTCTGCAATGACAAGTTCTTTACTGCAGCAACCACTAATTCCTAATGCCTCGCCAACATTAACAAGCAAAGTGATACTTCCAGCTATACCTTTAGAAAAAATGTACATTTGGGTATCTGCCAAAAGAACAAGATCCACTTTAATTAGTTCAAAGTCCAACTGTAATACTCTGGAGAATCTCATTTTGAGCTTAACTTCTAAACAGCACTGTAAACTTGGATTCGATGGAACACCTTGACTGTGTTTAACACTTACAAACCAAACTGCTGCTTAAGGAACCATGCAACCAATTATTCAGTGCAGCGATTACCTAAATATGACCAATAAGACCACAAGAAACAGCCTCTGCCTATATAGAGAAACATAATACCCTTATACTATCCTATAGTCAAAAGTTTAGTGATAAGATTCCTCTCTGCCTGGTAATTTGGCAGAAGCTGAGATGGACAGTAATGCAAAGTCTGTGAATCAATCTGCTACAAAAAAAAAATTTTAGTTACATCTAAAAGAAAGTTGTAGTTTGCCTTTCAGGTTACAAGTTTACACTTATTTTAATGCAAGATTTCCCTTTAAATTGTTCTTCCTTGGCATCTTCATGAATAAGAGCTTTAGCTCAAGATTTTCTATAAAATTAAAGACATTCATCAGAAAAGGAAGAGACCTTTTATAAGAATTTCCAAGCTAGTTACGGTGTATTTCTTTATCTGATAGCTTAGAAGAAATATTTGTCTGAATACAAACAACATGCTATGGCTCTGAGCTGTGGTTTAAGCTTTTGTCACTTTGAGAAAAATTTTGTAATTTCCACTGAAAAATAGAGATTTTTAAACGGCGATCAAAAGCCATGTTTCTCACAGGTATCCTATGAGATACACACTCATTTACTCATTTTAAAGAACATGTAAGTATGTATCTCTTCAGAGACTGAAAATCCCAAAGACCAGTCATACAGTGCCATTTAAGAACTCCACCTTGGAAACACTCTGTACATACCTCTTCATACTTCACCCACTGGTCTTTTGGAAGGATCTGATGTTTCAGGCTTAAGTCGAGTGCTCGCTTTATGCGAAATATTCTTTCATTGTAAAGATGTTCTGGAAGTCTCTTCAGTGCTTCTTTTACATCATCATCTTCATATAACGTATCATCTCGCATTAATCCTGTACCAAGAAGATTTTACAATATCACTGAAAGTTAAGTAAGATTTAGGATTGACACAGGTGTTTCTACATAACGTGGGCAAAATGCTTCCAATGCAAAATTATGAAGAAAACCCAAACCAATCCAGAAAAGAACCACTAACTGCTCACAGAGAACAAACTCTAAACACTGGCTTTCACATACTCTATTTACTTGTTTTTAACTCCTTTTCTTAAGGAGGAATACGGAAAATGGGTATTTAATTCAATGTGTTTCGTAAGCATATATACATATGGAACAATAACTATTCTGGATCTGAGGGGTGGACTTACACTCACCTAGTTTTCTGTCTGTATTTAAGATGATTGTCTACTTAAAGGGTTTAAGAGCTCTGCATCCATTAGAGTCAGTCAACCACAGATGTGACTACTTCAGTACTGAAGAATTATCCTCTAAACTCCACTATACGTAATGACTAGATAGATCTCCATTGACTATATTAAGCCATGGAAACCTGAAGCTAGATGCTTGTGTGCAAGTGGCTTCCCTCCCACATTGCCCCAAATCAGAAGTTAAATCAGGGAGAAGTATCTAGTCTTCTCATAGACAAGAACACCCCTACACTATTTGTGGGAGAAAAGATTCCTGAAACTCAACCAACCCCACTTTAAGTTTCAGTATTAACAAATAGGACAAAACGTTACTTCTGTAACATTCCCAGATTAATGAAGATCACAAGAGGATACCAACTGACTTGTGTTAAAGGTTTTGATCTCATGTGACTGAGCTGGCAGTAGTCTCCCAATAAAACAGAAATTTCTTTTGAGCCACATATTCTTGAATTCAGTTTTGTAAATTATTTCAAACGCACAGGGAGCACAGCTGCTAGTTTAATCACTAGATTAAATTCAGTGTTTCTCCTTAGTTTTAAGTCGCATTCCCAGAAAAGTGGCAAAAAGTATTAACGCCTTCAAGAATTTCAGCAGACAGATATAAAAAGAATGGCTAAGCACTGCACCCCTGGAGGAAAGACCTATGCTTATTCCTCTACAATTGTCTTGCAATTTTTTTCTAACTTACCCAGGGCAGGTATGTTAATCTCCTTTAAATGATTTGCTCATATTGTAGTCAGCAGTAAACTACAGCCTCTGAATATTCAGATTCCCTTGTCATTCAAGAACAGTTCTGCCATCTAAACAGTTAAAACAAATTTGGTAACAACTCTGAACAAATTGAAGACAATACCATCAAGGCAACCTCCTCTCCCTAAGGAAACACTATTTTTACACCTACTTCACCATTGTGCAGGCCTGAGACACACCAAGTGAAGTTACGGTGATACAAAGGGCAGAACTAACTACATCCTTTTTTGCACTTTGGATACCTTGCATAAACATCACAGACAGACTGACTGCTATCAGTGGGAACCTCTCCAGCTTCAGGGGCAGCCTTTGGGTTAGAAGATACAGGCCCCCGAAAATGACTTGGTGGGAAAAGATAAATAATCAAGCTTTCAAGACCGTTTTGTGAAAGTTTTTTCAATTGCTCCAGCTCAACCTTAGCCGTCATAACGTATTTCACTGAAAACAAGAGCAAACACAGAAATAACAGAAAAGTCACTGATTCATTACTAGGTAGCAATCATGATGACTGAGGCCACCGCTAACTTTTTCCCCACAGAAGCAGTAGCTAATTTTGATCAAAAAGACTTAGGCCAAACTGCACGTACATACATCCGCTACGAACCATAATTATTAGCTTGAGGACTGTTACATTTGCAAAGTTTTTAAAACTCAGCGAAACACTTACCGAGTTTGTTGAATCCAGCTGCATTATAATACCACTTGCGAATCCTGTCTAACAGGCGACCTCCTCCTGCAACTGAATGTGACCATTATCAGTTGCAGAGCAAGATAAAATTCAACATTTACACACTACTATGACAGTACACGAATATTTGCTGGCCTCCTTCACATGCAGTAATGCAACATTACATCAAGTTTGAACTTGAACATATGTGACTTGGCCTCTCTGCTTTTCAGTATCCATTAACTGACACTGAACAAGTAGAATGACTGCTTGTTATGTACAATAATTCGACCTCTGTTTCACTAAATTTGAATATTAGACTGCTTTAAGACTTGGAACAATGCTAACAGTTCATTGTCAAAGACAGCAGCAACACTTTTAAGGCTCCATAACTCTTACCCGAACTGAAACCCATAATGTTCTACACAAAGCAAACCCATTGTGCTTTTCAAACCATTTATCTAAGTTCCACAGCTCTCACTATGGGTTAATGCGACTTCAAGGCTTGCATATTATTTTGTTGTTAGCCTTCTGCTCTCCTCTCCAGTTACTTAAATACTATTCCAGAGATTCCTTTTTTCAAAGGACTGCCAAAGTCAACTGGAAAGTCAACACGGAAACCTCAAAAAAAAAAAATCATTGATTTTAAAAAGAAAAAATAAAACACATCACTTGCAGAATGTTCATCTTTCCCTAAATGTGATTTTGGATAGCAAAGGTGTTTTTATATGTAATCAAGCACAATGCAATACCAAATACCGCTGAAGCAGTTCAACAAGGGGTCTAGAAACCCAGAAAGAGCACGACAGGGGCAAGGCAGCCAGGGCGAGCTATCCTTCATGACTTTAAGTCAGTTGTCGTACTAGGTCACCCCATAAACCCAGCACTACGTGCGATACCAGTATGCCATTAGCACACTACCTCATCAGGCCTTATTCCTTCGGACTTTAGGACTTGAGAACGAGTAACGTCAAACCAGCTCAGCCTGGCGTCAGTATCCGGGCAGGACAGCGATCCCCGAGTTCCCTCCGGAGCAGCCCGAGGGCTCCTCCGCTGCTCCCGAGCACCCTCTGCCCCACTGCTCCCAGAAAACCTCAGCATCGGAGCCAGGCTCCCTCCGCTGAGGCCCAGACCGAGGGGCCGCCGCCCGGGAGGGACGGCGAGGACACCCGCCCGCCAGGGCCGTACCAGCGGTACACGAGCTGCGGGCGCTGCCCCCGTCAAGGGCACAGGGCTCACCCCGCCCGCCGGCTCCCCATCTCCCCGTCACGGCCCGCCTCGCCTCCCGGCGCGGGACAGGGCGAGCCCGGCACCTCAAGCGCGACGGGCGCGGCCCCGCACGACCACCCCCAGCCGCCCACCGCCGCCTCACCGGACGCCCTCGCCGCCATCTTGACCTCGAAGCGGCGCGCTGCCTTCTGGGTAACCCGCCCGTCCCCGGGGGGCGGGGGCGGGCCCGCCAATGCCGCCGCAGCCCTGGCGCATGCGCCCCGGCGGGGCGGGGGCAAGAGGCGCCGCGGCCCGGTGCCGGTAGCGCCCGGCCCGGCCCTCCCCTCGGCTCCCCCCCCCGGTTAGTCCCCGGGGGGGGGGGGGAGGGCGC